GAGTGATTGTAATGAAAATGTTGTTCCTCAAATATATGAGCTATTTAACTCTATAGCGAATAATTTATCTGCTGCAAGTTATATATCCTTTACAACTAACATTTGGACAGCATATAGTTCAAATGTTGCCATCATAAATATGACAGCACACTGGCTCAATAATTAATTTTCCCAACAAAGAGCAGTACTCATAGCTATGCATTTTCCAAAAAATCTCACAGGAAAAAACAAAAGTAAATATTTAAATTAAGGTTTACTAAGTTTTGAAATTCCACACATAAAAATTCACATTTCTTTACACAATAATGCTGCCAATATTGTAGCTGGTGTTAGAGACAGTGGTTTCAAGTCAACGCCATGTTTTACACATACAATACAGTTAAGTATACATGACTCAGTTTTGTCACAAATATCTGTGAAAGATATATTAGCTTGTTGCACACGTTTGCCAACTCATTTTCACCATTCACCAACAGCAGCAGCAAAATTAGAAGCAATTCAGGAACGACTTGGTACGAATAAGCATATGTTAGTTAAAGATGTTGCTACAAGATGGAATAATTCTTATGATATGATTGAAGGAATGCTTGATCAGAGAGTTCCTTTGGCAACCTTTACAGCTAATCATGCTACTCAATCAATATTGAGTTTATTCCAATGGGGTTTATTAGATAAAATTTTTCATATTTTAGAGCCATTCAAAACATTAACTGTTAATTTTAGCAAACAAGAAGCATATATGTCTGATTTTATTTCTTCGATTATGGCTCTGAATTTTTTAACCAAGCAGTTAAACAATTAAATGAGTCAGTAGACAGAAGACTGGGTAAATTTTGCATAACAAGTTTTATGTCTTTCTACTTTTTGTGACCCTAGATATAAATGAACATATCATAAGGAAGATGAGAATAAAATAAAAAAATTGTATAAATGAGGAGAAGAAATGCAACAACATAGTTTAGAAGTTGAATCAACTTATTGTGATTGTGATGAACCCACAAAAAGATAAACAAAAGAAGTAAAACCAGCTTATCCAAAATTCAAAGAATGTTTCCTTCTAATTCCCAAAATTAAAACAAATGATTATACCAATTTTGTAAATACTGAAAATAGAAAAGGATCAAAAAGATTAAACTCCTATATACACATAATAAACAAGGAAATTAAAGTGTACTTAAAACTCCCTCTTGTAATGGAAAAAAGAAACTTTTATGGTGGAAAAGTGTTGGAAACTCTTTAAAAAATTTGAAGAAAATAGCCTGAAAGTTTTTTTTTAGCACCACCTTCTTCTGTAGAAAGTGAAAGGCAGAAAGTGGTGAAAAATTAATGTTTATAGATTATAACTTAAGAGCAACAAGTTGCAATTGAGTTTCACTTAACTTTTTAATACTTTATTTTTTTTATCAAATGGTTATTTGATTATGTGAATAAATTTTATGATTTATTTAATGTTGTTTCTATTACATAGTATGATTATATTATAAAAACTCCATAAAAAATAGAAGCATTATTCTGAAACTCTACAACAAGATATTAAAGAGTTGAAGATATTATATATCATTATATTATATATCATTATATATAGAGATATTTTATGTCATTATTATAAATTATTTTATTAAATACATAGATATTATATATCATTATATATATAGATATATATCATTGGTATACATTACATTATTATATATCATCAAGATATTATATGTCATTATATATATAGAGTTGAAGTCTCGACAATAAGTTTTTATAGAGTTGAAGATATTATATATATATATATATATATATATATATATATATATATATATATATATATATATATATATATATATATATATATATATATATATATATATTTGAAGGTGTTATATATATGATAAACATATATGGAAAAACTTTAGATATATATATTTGTTTTACCACAACAATGAACATCTCTTTAAACAGACTCAAGTTCAAAAAAAATATCTTATTTATTGAAACTTCTATTTGACATTTTAAATTTAAAAAATGGCAATATATTTAAAATTTAACTCATTTTATTATTTTTTTTTTCTATTTATGGTTAATATTAATTAACACTATTAATCTTTGTTCATCTTTTGACACTTTTTGTCTAACTCTAGGATCACATCAAAAAAGATGGACCGGTTAACAGAAAATTAGGACGGTCCAAATGATGGGTTGTTGCAGATAGCTGTATATTTTCTTTTTTTTATTTACTCTTTATTTTATTTTACCTACGGGCCTTGTGCCTATTATATACACATGATGTTTAAATTAAATGCATTAAGAATAAAATAACAAGATAAATTATTAAATTTTATATGTAAATTTAAATTATTTTACCATGGCTACCAGAAACGGTACAAATGAGTTAAACAAAAAAGTCGAAACTAGGAAAACATATGACTTTTTATAAATATTTTTTTTTTGCATGTCCATATATATATATATATATATATATATATATATATATATATATATATATATATATATAATATACATATATACAATTACATATACATAATTATATAAAATATATACATAATATATATATATATATATATAATATATGCCTTATGCAGTAAATATAAATATTTACTGTATAAGGCATCGTATACTTTTTAACTATTTAAAAGTTATGAAACATTAAAAATAAGACTATTGTCAGAGGCAGTAATATTCTTGATAAAAAAAGAGCTTGTTTGAGAAAAAAATATCCCAAAACTCTTTTTGCACCATAATATTCAAAAAAGACTTTAGAGGGTAAACAGATTTTATCTGTTGACCAGCCTCACACCCCTTCTTCATCTATTAGGCTGACACAAAAGTATTATTAATACATTGTTTCCTAATTAGGATGTTAAATGCAGGATCTTCTTGACTCGAGGCATGGGTTTTGCTTGTGTCTCTGTTTTTATGACTAGGCAACTCATTCTATTACCTCCTAATGAGGGTACAGCTCTAAAACTTAGTTTTATGGTTCTGAGGCCGGCTGGCAGTCAAGTTTCTCAAACTCTGTGGTAGACCTCAGAGAGGCTGTTTCCATCAACAGCTGAAAAATATCAAAGTATTTACAGTGCCATGTTGCTCATGGATGCTGTCCCTGTTTGTACATTTGGTGCACATTTATTAATAGTAATGAGGCAAATGTTTGGGCTATAAAACAGTGTACTGTGTACTAGCTATGTATCAAGTCTTTATCAAATTTAAAAATCAATAAAGTAACTAAACACAAAACACAAAAAACCACAGTCATCACTAAGTTCGCTAAACCTATTATTCACTAATACTTGTGGTCTTCGAAGTAACTTTTTGTTGAGTCTTATCTCTTGCAAAGATTACCAGACCTACTTGCTCTTTGTGAGACTAATTTGATTTTAGCTGTCTCATCTTGTGATCTAAGTGTTGATGGTTAACTTCCTTTAATTCGTAAAGACTCCAATAGTTACATGCTTGGCCAGGGCATTTAAATTTGTAAGAATTCACCCATTTGTCGGAAAATTTCATCTGAAGACTGTACTCTTCTTAATGTTATTTCTGATCATATTGACCACGCCCTCTCTCTTTATCCATAAGCCAATATAGTTGTTGTTGGTGATTTTAATGTTTATCACATTGAATAACATTATAATAAAGACACTACAATCATTTTTATAATATTTATGATAACATATTATGTTCACAAAAAACATATTTTATGCATGTTTTACATAATTCATACTTTAAGAAAATATTTTGAAGAATTTATATATATACATATATATATATAAATAAATATATATGTATATATATATATATATATATATATATATATATATATATATATATATATATATATATATATATATATATATATATATATATATAGATATATATATATATATATATAAATATATATATATATATATATATATATATATATATATATATATATATATATATATATATATATATATATATATATATATATATATATATATATATTTGTACAAACTGTTAGTGAATTTTTAAATTATGTTTTGTTTCCTAAAGAATAATATTTAATAATAATAACACACACATGCATGCATAAAAAAATCTAAAAAAACCAAAACCACATAACCATCTTCAGCATTTATAAAGTGAACAATGCTCACACAATGAAATTTTTTTGTGTCATATTACATAACGAATAGTTATTTAAATAGTTTTTTTATAAAACTTGCCTATTAGGGTTTATCGATTTTCATAGCAAAAAAAAAAAGTTTAAAAATCAATATTCCTGAGACACGAATCGATGTCTATTAACTATAAGATGAAAGTAAAAAAATATTTTTTGACTTTGATGAGATCTTGAGGTTCCTTTTTAGATTCTAAATCCTTGACGGATCCTAATATTTTTGATATTTTTTTTAAAAACTATATCAACCTTGGACTCAAAAAAAGCAGAAAAAAATGTTTGTTTTATCAATAATAATTTTATTGAAAAAAAATTTTAAGTAAAAAAATATTTGCAAAAATATACCTCAAAACCCCCATTTTGGTGAAGACAGGGGTTTTTTAATGAAAAAAACGTCATTATTTTTTCTCTTTAGTTTTGTATTAAAACAAATATTATATTCAAAATAAGCGTATTATTCTGCTTCTTTTGAGTACCAGGTTGATATAGTTTAGAAGAAAAAAAATTTCAAAAATATTAGGATCCGTCAAAGATTTAGAATCCAAAAAGGAACTTCTAAAACTCATTTAAATTAAAAAAAAAAAGTAAGGTTCTTTTTTCATCAAAAAAAACCGATTCGCAGCTCAGGCAAATCAAATTTCAAAAATTTTTAAAATCGATCCACCCTACTGCCTAACATTATAAAACATATCAAATGTAAAATAATTTATAGTATTCAATACCTTCAAAAAATATAAAAAAAAGTTTAAATCTCTATATTATTCACATCTTATTTAACACCTGTATAATTATCTAAATTAGGCTCACAATAATGCATCAATGTTTCAGAACTTACCCAAAATGGAGTACAAAAGTGAAGCTTTTTCACTGGAGTTTTTTGAAGGATTCAGGTTAACAAGAAACTTTATTAAATTATTTTGGTTTTTATTGGCTAATCCACAAATCATTGATAAGCATCTCTTCAGTTTCTTATTGGTCAGAATCTCATCACAACTTAAACAATTATATGCATATACTGATGCACAAAACATCATTATTGTTGAATTTACGAACTTATAATAACAATCGAGATCTGTTTCAATCCTTTCTATAAATCCAAAATAATTGCTTTCATTTTTATCAACGTCACTATAAAAACTTTGAACTTCATCTTCAGAAAAAAATACTTTATTTTCAACAAACAATTTATATGCAATTTTACAAATATTCAAAATATAATTTTTATTGGAACTTTCTTCCATTATCTCATAAATCAATTTATTGTTTTTAATGATATGTTCTCGCAAAAAATATAAAAAAGTATTTGCATACAAATCTGTCAATGTTAAGAAAGAATTTGAATCAATATTTTGTGAATCACTTATAGTTTTACACATTAAAGATAAATAAAATGGAACAGATGCAATGACTTTTGCAATTGGAGACTCCTTTAAAGTTGATTTTACAACTTCTTTTTTTTCTTCCACAACATGATTTTCTATATAATTATTTATTTTATTTTCATTAAACCCCATTACTTGAATGGTTAACTTATGGCTATGTTTTGTAGATATACTTTGGTATCGATCTATTGCATAAACTCTACCAGCAACTAAATATTTGTATTTTGTAATTTCTTTGAAAGTATTAACAATTGGATAAGAAGTCAATCTTGGATTTAATAACTCATTGAAATATTTAAACTCATCTAATCCATCAATTATAAACATTGTAGTATGTCTTTTAAATTTAAAGTCATTTACAATATCTTTGTAGAAAACATTTACAATATCTTTGTAGAAAACATTTACAATATCTTTGTAGAAAACATTTACTAATTCATTAATATTCGAAATATTTGGATATTGATTGAGTCTCCTGCATTCCAAATAAAAAACAAGTTTAACATTTTTCCAAATTAAACCATTTGACCAATCAACCAAACATTTTTTAAGCAACCATGTTTTCCCAATACCAGCTATTCCAGATAATAATATTACTGATTTTTCATTTGAAAATATTTTACTATATGTAATTGGTGTATAACTCATTTGGTTTTCAAAAAATATATTTTGTTCAACACTAAAATCAAAAGTCTTTATCAAATTTCTCTTTTGAGTATTTAATTTTGCAGATGCTTGTAATAGCGGTTGTAGTTCACCAACTTTTCCATAATACTCAAGATAAAAATTTTTAAGTTTAGCAGACAACCTTGCCAAATCTAAATAAAACAAAACAATTTCTATTAAAGCCATCATCATGATTTACTAATAATGATCATTTTTACTATAACAACTGTTTTATTATTATATATTATATTGTATATGTTATACATACTTTTATATAGACATAAAAATATTTATAATAATATACTTTTTTTATGTAAATTTACCTCCCCAAGGCTAAGAAGGCTACTAAAAGCGAGGAGGGTTCTTAATTGTGGTTATAAATCTCTCCTAACTAAATATCTCCGAAACACAAATCTTGACGAACAAGGGTGATATGCAGAGAAACAAGTTGAACGTAGTACTACCAGGTACATAATGGAGATTGAACTTGGAACCTCCTGTTTATAAAGTAAGCACACTATCACTACACCACTACCACATACATGCAAATTGACACAAAATTTCTGATAAATTTAATGAAACTAACTTTTAGTGAAATGATTTTTATTGCTTCAAAATTGAAGAATTTTTTCAAACATTTTATTTAAAATCAAGGTAGTTATATTTGAAAAACCTTTCATTTGTTACTGAAAAAACTTTTACTCAAGTTTTATGTTATTACTTTTAACAAACTTTTTAAATTATGTTGATTCAAGTTTTCTGGAAAACACTTTGAAATTGAAATTTGTCTACTAAAATCTTTTTACTAACGGCTCTAACTCAACTTTTTTCTTTGCACAGTAGCATTGTTTATTAAGTTTCATTTTTAGGATTTAAGTGTTGAGAGAGGGATTAACCACTGTTAAAAAAAAGAAAAAAAAAATCCTCCTTAGCTTTAAATTTAAATTAAGTTTGGGTTAAAAACAAAAACAAAAAATAAAAAATAAAAAAGCTAGCAACTAGCTTAAGTCAAACACTTTTTTTTGATTGTTTTAATATATATATATATATATATATATATATATATATATATATATATATATATATATATATATATATATATATATATATATAAATATATATATATATATATATATATATATATATATATATATATATATATATATATATATACATATATATATATATATATATACTTATATATATATATATATATATATATATATATATATATATTTATATATAATATATATATATATAAATATATATATACATATATATATATATATATATATATATATATATATATATATATATATATATATATATATATATATATAGTATATATATATATATATATAAATATATATATATATATATATATATATATATATATATATTTATATATATATATATATTGATATATTTATATATATATATATATATATATATATATAGGTATATATATATACATATATATACCTTCTTAATATACAATCTTAAGAGCATTAGTTTGAAGTTCTACTTCAAACTGATGCTCTAATTTATTGAAAAAGTAATTTATTTTTGAAGTTATAGTTCTATATGTAACTGTTGTTTTCCATTTAAATCTTTGTTAAACTATTTTACGATATATAAACTTTTAAGTAGCTAAAAAAGAAAAAAAAAAAATATTATTTAGATATCAAACCTCGGATGTGTTTTAAATATACTTGTTGTTTCATTGCTTTTTAGGAATGTTTTTTCATATTTCAGTATTATAGGTATACCTATTCATTTCTGTATATTTAATGAATTCTTCAAAAGCACTTTATGTGTTTATTACTTTTGCTATGTTATTCTTTAGTTTATTAAGATTAACATTTCTTTTATATTTCAAAAAAACCAGGTCATTTCAGGAAACCATTATTAAATTCTCGATCTTGTACATTTTGAAACAAAATTTGCACTCAATGTATTCTTATAAATAGCAATAGTGTGTGAAAACATTAAACAAAAAGAAAGGCACACCGTTCTAGAAACCAAATGATTGGTTGTGAAATTACCCAGAACAGAGATAAATCAATTTAGTGTTTCAACAAAATTTAATTAATTTAAAATAAAAAACATTAGGATGCAAAAGATTTAGTTAAGATAAAAACAGATAAAAAAAGGAAAATTTTTAAAAATACAACTGGCATGTTTTAGAAAGCAATTTAAGGTCAGTTCATTTTGTTTCAGCTAATTAAAAAAAAAATTTTGTGGGGCACTATTCTGTTTCTTATATATCCTCATCTGAATTATTAAGGTTAAACTTGAAACTTCAGACTTCTAAGTATAACAGTTTCGAAATTATAGCCTTATAAACATAACATAATGGTCCTTTTAAATTAAAAATGGTAAAAATAAACATTTTACAACGTTTTTTTTATAATCTTTTTTTTATAATCTATCTTTATAATCTTTTTTAAATTAATTTCCGGTCTTTAAAATTGTGTTTTTTACCAAACTTGTACTGAATTTGAGAAAAATAACAACTCCTTAATTTTATAAAAAAAACTGAAACTCACTAAAAAATATATTAAAAAGGTATAAAAAATATTAATCACTGACAAATAAAAAAAAAATAAATAAAAATTCTATTCACGGCTAGGGTTCTCGTCCGCTATAAAATTCCAACTTTCAGTCATTTCAAGATGCTTGAAAACTTTTTAAAAATATATATTTATACAAGATTAAAAGCTTATAATACCATCAGACCCAGTTTATAATACTATTGGATTTTTCAATTATTAATGGTTGAATGCATTTTTAAAAACTAGAGCCACTAACTAACTAACTAACCTACCTATTGGCTCTTTTAAAAGCTGCAACTATATAAGTCATTTCATAACAAAAATAAAAATATTGTTGGTTGCCATCACCTTGATTTGGTTTTTATATTGAAAAGGGGCAGCAACTGTTTAGTTTTTTCTTTATTTGATTTTAAACAAAGCAGAATTTATTTTACAGTTATATTAAGTTCTTTTTAAAAATCTTAATAATAAAATCTCACCATTTTGATAATGATAAGACAGATCAGAAGCCATAGTTTTGTAT